CCCCAAAACCCCAAAACCCCAAAACCCCTTTGTAAGTAAATTGTAAATCTAGGGAGTAAGTGAAGTTATTAATACTTAAAGGACATTTACTGGTAATTTTCAATAGTATTTGAATTCCCAAATCAAATTAAAAGAATTTCTATGAGAGTGAACAAATTAGTACTTTTGGCATTATTAAGCCTGATAGAGTTGAGCTATCAATTCATTGTATATGATGAGAGTCTAGCCTCATGCTAGGCATTTGCATAAATGTTTGACAATACTTGTGATCCTTAAGCCACTCCTACAACTCTTGGTTCAACAATTTCTGAGAAAAAAACTTGCAATTTTGTTTCCGAAAATTTCCCATAAGCTAATCTTTACAGAAAATTATGTGCAACATGCTCTTCAGAGAACGATTAAGTTATCATAAGAATACAATCAAATGGTTTGCCTAATCATTGTGTATATTGGGGAGATGATACTGGTGTGTCAGCCAATATCGATTTTAAGGTAAATTGGAACAAGAAAATGAGTATCAATTCAACCAATTACTCTCCTGCAACTTAAACAGACCTTGATACTCTGATTTGCAAAGCAAACTGGCCATCAGTTTTACCTGAATACTCATAGTTTACTAATATGATTAGTAGTTAGCCTGCTGATCTCGATGAATTTGTTGGTATTGCCTTGAATGGTGTCCTTCTTAGTTCAGGTTTTAGTACTCTAAATATGAATGTAGATCCAATATTTCCTATAGAGTATGATTAGGTGACTAATATAAATGATGCGAAAGAAATGGGAGACACCTGTCTAACCAGTGTACATAATGGAAACAACTATCATCATTATCATATTATTTCTCCATGCATTCTGGATTCAGATTTACAAGCTAAAAGCTAGTAAGTAGCATGCTTTATGGATTCAGGTTGCTCTGACAATCTTATTTAGTATTCTAAAGCCTAAAAACTTAAAACTTTAATGCCTATTGGAATTGCAAAGGATGGTCATCCAATATACGGGCCTTATAATTCGCAAGGAAAGTTATGGTAGCCTTGTGATGTAGACATATGCAATGGAGTATTTTTAGGAGATTAATATGCTTATGTGGCAACTATGTTCCATCCTTACTTTATTGGATGTTGGGGTCCAGGAAATAAGCCAATGCTCTCTTAGAGTTGCTCTGCCAACCCAAGAAAGTGTTCTAATTCTAAGTTAGGAATAAGTCATAGCTACATCATCATGGTACTTACAGTGGGATTTACTCTTATAAATTTATTAATTAATTGACTTTCATTGATGTTGCAAGCGATACTATAATTAGACTAATTAGCTTTATTATGTTAATAATTTTACAACTCTTTCTCTTAGTTTGGTCATTATTTTATCAAGATGGGGTTTTGGGGTTTTGGGGTTTTGGGG